ATTCCCTCCCCAGGTGTCACTGATCACATTGTCCAATAATGGTAGCTGGGAGGCTGCTTGGCCACTCCTCTGCTATCTTTCAGGATGACCTTGGTTTCCACAAGAAAACTTTTTGTTTTGACTGGTAGCCAGTCTAGCTGCTTCCCCCTTTCAAAGTTCATGGCAACTATGAGGCAGGAAAAGATGGCTTCAGCCAGGTCAGCTTCAATTTTGACACTAAGTGCTATTGCTTAGTTTCAGGTAGGTTGAATACCACCTTGCACCCTGACACTTAAGTCCATCTGTTGCTTTGATTAACAACAAGAGCCATAAACATGTTCTACCCTTTCTGGTATGTGAGAAGAAACTATTGTTAAGTGGGCAGGATGTTAGTCTGCCTTGCAATAATCAGAAGAACAGTAATTCATAATATATCCCCTGTGGATTTTTATCCAGAAAGCTCTTCCAAGATAAAACCTGCTTAATTAAGCCCTGAACTCTCCTGATGGGGACTGGATCTGACATGCCACCTCAGCTTGTTTTGCAAAGTAGCAATTTCTTATCATCAATGCAACTAAACTGGCTTCAGTTTTTTCCTCAGTGACAATTCAAACTCAGGTGAGAAGCACATGTTATAGGTGAAAATTTGGTTATTACACCTGAGAATGTGAAGAGCCAAACTTTGAAGCCATTTTGTGTTCGCAGTCTGAACTTTTGAAGCTCAGAACATTTATGTAATGTGTTTTCTCCTAGAAATTATACAAGCTTGCAAAATTATGGACTTGGCATAAGTTCGAGGTATGTGCTGGGGCGCTCTGACATTATAAATCACATTAAGAGATATTAATGGTTTTCCTAAAATCTTCTGGTATTTGAATAACAGGAAATCTGACTATAATGAGAATGTTGGGAGTTTTCCATGGAAGGTTGGAACTTTCTTATGAAAACATTGTATAATTTCTACATATATGGACAACAGGAAGTGTTATGTAATCATGTGATTTGATAAACCCATATAAGCTGTATTCACTAAATGGAAGGGTCTCCTTTTCTCCTAAATATGGTTTTGGAGTAAGGGGGTCCATACAGCAGTATTTTCCCTAATAAAGCATCCTATGGATCTGATTATCAAAAGTCTGTTGATTCATTTTGATGTATTTCTCACACACACTTGATATAAATTGCCCTGAATCTACCCAAGTTGCATAGTTGTCTTCTTCTGTATTAAATGTAATTCAGATTCTTAATCAACATTGGTTTTTGATCTAGGAAGGAAGGTGAAAATAATGAACAGGCTGCTTCTCTTGCTACTTCTCCTTTCGCTCCTGCCTTCAGGGACAACTGATAAGATAATGCAAAGATTCTGGAGGACTATTATGGACCTGGTGATCTCATTATTGGAGGAAATTTGCCCCTGAGAACATTTTCTGACATTAGAAAGATATACTTCCACAGTGAGCGATTCCTGATGCCATTTTCAGAAAGGTATTCTTTATTTATTAAGCAGAGGTATGTGGCCACCCAATTCATGCTCTGGTGACTCCGGGCAGCTTACAACATTAAAAATCCACAACATAAGAACCCATAACCCATCACATCCTACCTCATCTCAGCACCAACTCAATCAACTCAACCACATATTTCACCTAGAAAATAAAGCGATAGAAGATTCTTATCGTTTTGGATTCAAGGGCTCCTTTCAAAAATTTTACTTCTCCTTCTACTTTGCAATCTCCTGGGGAAGTTCAGAAGCCTTGGTGCTTTTTTGCAGAAATAACCAAGCCAACAAAATTGCAAAGAATCATCCAATTACCTAGGACTCTTCATCAGGAAGATAATAAACAGGATATGTGAGGAAGGAGTTACATATCAGAAACTGAACAGAAACTTACTGGCCAAATGAAGAAATTGATCTATAATATATGTCAGTATATGCATAATTTCATATTTATTTATTTTGTCATGTTTATATAATGTATATTGGAGGTGGTCACCCTTTGAGAGCTGTATGAAATGAAATTTCATTTTAATGTATGCTGTTTAGTGTACATTCAAAGTGGCAATAAAGTTATTCTAATATTAATTTGGACAGAAAGTCATGGTGCAAAACTCAAAGAAAAGGCCGACTTTTTTACAGAATGGAGGTATTTTTTTAAAGGCAATCCTACTTTTGGAATCATCCGTGCTATTTTGTAATGGCCTTTATTGCACAGTGGAGTATTGTTAACTGCAATGTTTCTCAGAGCTAAAACAGCTTTTGAAAGTGAAAATTAAATGGCCAAAGCTATGGTGGATAAACCATGCCTGTTTAGGGTTGAAATCTGGTACTTCTCAGTCTCTATCTACAGTTATCATGATTTCAAGGCAGTATCATCTATATAGTACTTTTGATAACATTTGGGGGGTAGGTGCACAACAAAGTTCAGGAAAACATATACACACAGAAACAGAAAGGAAAGGGAAATTATACAATGATACACAGGCTTCTGGTTTGAGCTTCTTCAGCGACAGACCGAAAGCTCATCTCTCCGAGTCTTTGATCCATGCTCACTGCTGGAGCACCCCAAGCCGGCTGGTTTGGGGGCTAAACCACCCCATAGAGGTGGTGAAGAGGGGGGAGACTGCCTGCATGGTTGAGGAGAGCCACATCTCTCCTCCCCAGCTGGCCATTACTCCTTTTCCTGAAGGAGGTTCTAGTGGTGGTCAGAAATGGCCACCACAAAGAAGAACTCGACCAGAAAAGAATGTGCAGGAGAAAGATGAGAAGAGAAAGTTTTGGTTGACCGGGTCAAACAACAAAAGCAATAAATAAGGTATCCTGGAATTGAAACTATTAAAAAAAACCCAATAACATTGTTCCCTAAGAAGATTTTGAAGCTGCAAAGGAGAGAAGGGAAAGGATTAGGTTTTTTTCTTCCCTTCCATATACTGACAGCTAAGAGACTTAAGCAAGAAACTGAAAAAAAAAATCCACTTTGACATTAATAGGCATTCAAGCTGAAAATAAAAGTCAAAGGGATAAATAAAGATTTCTGGACATTTAAAAGTTTTTAAAAGCTGGAAAGGAGAAAAAGAAAGAATAGCAGGGCAGGATTTGGAAAAATGGAGGAGACTGCCTGGAATTAAGGAATGGAACTATAATTAAAAGGAACTTACAGTGAAATTTTAACAAGATTCCTCAAAGATACATTTTAATGGAAACTTGGTAACAAAATAATGGAATCCCAGGAAGAGAAAGTGGAAAAAAGAAGCAAGTAGAAACAGCCTTGGATTACTTGGATTACTTGGTGATTTTTGATTTTTGCATCTAGATGACTAAAATTAACTGGGTGGTTGTTTAAAAGTTTTTAAAATGGTATCACTCTTAGAAGAACTGAAATCGGAACTTAAAAAATGGGAAGAAGACGCACAAGAAGAGAGAAGTTCTTTTGGCTTCGTGTTTCAATTCTTAGAAATGGAGATCTGGAACTATGAGAAGCAACAAGAAATGCTTGCAGAACAAGAAGATTGGGACAAAGAAGAAGCCATCTTTAATGATCAAATCATTTTAAGTGGGGGGGAAAAAGAAAAGGGGGGAAAGAGAGTGAAAGGTTTAAGATTAGAAAAAACAACCAAAAAGAAGAACAATTTGAAAGATAAGTATAATATTAGAAAGCAACAGAAGAAGGGATTACAGATGAGAGAGTTAGAAGTAGAGAGATGAGTGGGTAAATAGGGGAGGGAGAAGAAGAGGGGGAAGAAGGCAAGAAAAAGAAGTTGTAAAAGACAGAAACAAGAAATGGAGAAACAGGGAAAAGATATAAGAATTGTAACCATAAGTTTGTTTAAAGATAATGGGAGAATTAAAAGGGAACATTTTTAATTATTAGTAATGATTTATAAAAATATAAGTGAGAAATATGGGGGAAAAAAAGAATTAACTATGGAAAGTTTATAAGTGTTCCCAAGGAAGTATGATATTCAATTGAAAAGAAATGTTAAAGATGTTAAGATTTTAATGCATATTAATGATAGAATTGAATTGGAATGGAATGTGTTTTATTTACATATATATATATATATAATTTTTTCTTTTTAAGAATATAGTGTCTATTTTAAGAATGTACTGAGCAGAATTCGATTGGAAGTTATGTATTATATTGAATGCTATAATCTTAAAGCTATACATTGAAGCCTAAATAAGAGCTTGAATGAATAAAATTAAAGGATACAAAGGTGTCATACTCTAATTGGTAACTACAGGGAAAAATTTGTTTAATAAGAAAAGATAATGTGAAATTGTAACAGGACAGACAAAAGTATAAATATAATGATTTGAATTGAGATAATCAAACCAAAGTTGAGAAAATTAGAAGAGGGGAAAAACTATGTAGAAAATATAAAATGGTAATAAGATATGGAACAGAATATAAAAATGAGCATGAAATTGAGTTTTTTGTCTGTATGAAGAAGTGATAACCTGGGACCACGCTATTTTCAAAAAAGATGTTTTATTTGTATTTTGTTTTTGTGAAAACCCAAATAAAATTTTCAAAAAAAAAAAAGAAGAAGTTGTGGGAGCTTCATCACTGAAAGCTTTCAAGAAGAGACTGGACTACTATTTATCAGAAATGGTGCAGAGTCTTCTGCTTGGGTGGAAGGTTGGACTAGATGACCTACAAGTTCTTTCCAACTCTGTTAATACTGCTTCACTGTGCTTTACAGCCCTCTCTAAGTGGTTTACAGATTCAGCATATTGCCCTCAACAAACAAATGAAGACTCACTTATTTTACCAATGAAGGATGAATCAACTTTCAGCAGTTGAGAATCAAACTGCTGTCAGTCAATAGTCAGCAGAATTAGCCTGCAGTACTGCATTCTATCCACTGTGCCACCACAACTCATTAGAATAGACATACCCAATCCCTGTAACCATTCTTCATTTCTTTTAGACTCCAGGTCCCCTAATCATTTTTGTTGCTCTTCTCTGTACTGTTTCCAGAGTCTTAACATCTTTTTTAAATTGTGGTGAATGACACGAATGGCTCGGCTGCTTCACTTGTTGCTGCTCCTCTGGCTCCTGGCTCCAACTGCTGCTAAGAGGAGGCCAACCACATGTGTGTTGACTGCCTCTTTACAGGGAAAATGGGACTATTACAATCATGGTGATCTCATTATTGGTGGGGATTTGCACCTGCAAACCTTTGTTTCCCTCAGTGTCCTAAGCTTTCAAATAGACCCATCCCAGCATTCCTTCCTTACAGCGTAAGTTCCATTGGAATAGATTGATGTACATGATTATTAGCTTTGTATTGAATTTAAGGACTTATTTTGGAAATATTGTTTTCTGATGATGTTTGCAATGTCTTAGTACAGTGCTTTTCTCAATAAATAGTTGTACTCATAAAATAGCTGTCCGCATTCCAAGTAACAACCTCCAAAGTAAAAGACTCCGAGACTGTCATCTTCTCAAAGATCCATCAGAGATGTCATATTGGCACATCTGAGGAAAACCCGAATCTGAGATTTCTGGTCTTTCCTCAGCCCAAAGAGAAACCAAAATCCATCCCCTGCACCCAATAATCCATCACATGGTCCAATCATTACTTCATTTCAACTGGAGATTATCCCCAGGCACTCTCCTCCAGGTGCAGAGCAACATATCCTTGACTCTCTAAGAAAGGAATGTTATTGTGGCTAATTTTCCACCGCTCCTTGAAGTCCCCCTCCAAAATTCCCAGGCACTGAATGTGACAGCCCAGAAGCCTCCAAGAATAATAGCTTCTAAGTTGACAATAGCCTAGAATTCTCCATATTTCAAGAACTCATCATCTGGAAGGTGATACCCCCCAAAAAAGTTAAGGGGGATACCTTACACATTGTGGACCTGATGAAGTTGACTTTTAATATAAATATGGACAGAAACATGATGGAAAACTCAGATAAAAGCACAATCCTTTTCAAGTGAGAGTACAATAACCCTCCCCTACAAGATTCAGTTTTAGTTTCAGCAATGCTCATTAATAATACCATCAATAAATCTATGTTGTGACCCTTACTGGAGTCTTGTGCACAAAAATGATTACCAGATCTGAAGAAGCATAACAAAATAACATACAAACATGATTGGAAGGGACCTTAGAGGTCTTCTAATCAAACCTCTTGCTCAAGCAGGAAATCCTATAACATTTCATTGGTTGTCCAATCTCTTCTTCAAAACCTCTCTTGTTAGATAACCAACAAACTCTGGAGGCAAGGTGTTCCACTGATTAATTGCTCTCACTGTTTGAAATTTTTTCCTTAATTCTAGGTTGGTTCTCTCCTTAATTAGCTTCCAACCATTACTTCTTGTTCTGCCTTTAGGTACAGAAAAGTTGATCCAGAGATTTTTCAATACTCTTGTGCTTTGGAATGCTAGGTTGTCCTGCCTTGAAGTACTTTGGAGAATAGGTTGACCCCTTCTACTTTGTGGCAGCCCTACAAATATTGGAACACTGCTATCATGTCTCCCCTGGTCCTTCTTTTCATTAAACTAGACATACCCAATTCCAGCAACTGTTCTTCATAGGTTTTAGCCTTCTTCAGTCCCCTAATCTTCTTTGCGTTCTTTCTAGAGTCTCAACATCTTATATCATGGTGGCCCAAACTGGATGCAATATTCCAAGTGTGGTCTTACCAAGGTATTATAAAGTGGAGTTAACACTTCATGTGATCTTAATTCTATCCCTTTATCTTCTCCAAGAGAGAACCAAAATGAATAGGACGTAGAGGTATAATTGGGAAAGATTATAGCTACTGGAGCAAAACAAAGAAGGGAGGAACAATAGAGTGATATAAATGGACCATGAGAGGGACAGACAGGATTTTATTCTTTCTAAAAAGCTGACAAATTTTAATCAAGGAATATCCTTTAAAAAAATCCAGAGCCAATGGAACTTGGGGATTCCTGCTCCAAAGAACACAACAAAAGACAAGGGAAATTCCACAAGCATATATAAGTTTTCCTGCAGTGTTCCCCAATGTTTTTCTCCCTATAGAGTTGAATCCAAGAATTACCAGCAGTTCCTGGCCTTGGTGTTTTCAGTGAAAGAGATCAACGAGGATTCGAATCTCCTTCCGAATATCACCCTTGGCTTCCACATCTATGACAATTGCCAGATTGAGAGGAATATTTCATTAATCAGCCTCTCCCTTCTCTCCACACGAGATCAAATGGTTCCGGGTTACAAATGTGATAAGCAGGAGCCTCTGCTCTCTGTCATTGGAGGTCACAATTCCAAATTTTCAATCCAGATGGCCTCCACCTTCAGCATTTCAAGGTCCCACAGGTAAGGGGGCTCCACTGGATACAGTATGGAGTACAAAAACAACAGGAACACACACAGAAACCAAACAGGTTTTGGAGGAATCTTCAGAAGTACAATAGAGAATCCATGGTATAGTTGAATTGATTTTTATATTTCATGTGTAAGTATACATTTTTGCATAACCACAAAAGGACGGATGAGATAATTCTGGAATGTTATACTTGCCAAGAATACCTTCTTCCTAGCCCAAAGATATTTTACTTCTCATCCAAGAAGCTTCTTCAATTTCTTCCTAACTTTTCCTCCAAAAATTGTAGCCACTTTTTCAATGCAGTTTATTTTCTGTATCAGTTGATAGTTTGATTCCTTGGTTTCTGACGTGTCACAATGAAACAAAATATGTAACTGGGGGCTGTTTCTAAGACGGGGAGAAGTTTATGTTTACTATTCATAATTGGACAGCCTGAGTGGTGGGGTAATCAACCACACAATGGGGAGTTCCAAAGTCATCATATAACTTTATTTTGTCTTTGAAAAATCCCTCTTCCTCCAGCTCGGTGTTGGTTTTGAGTTCTCTCAAGGAGACCGAAGAGTTTATCCTTCCTTCTTCCAGAATAATCCCAAGGAATTTCCTCAGTATGTGGGTTTAGTCCAGCTGCTCCTGTATTTCCAGTGGAACTGGGTTGGACTTTTGGCCTCTGAAGATGACAGGGGACAACATTTCATTTCATCCCTGATGCCAATGCTCAAGGAGAAAGAGATCTGCCTGGCCTTCATGGAAATCTTTAAATTTCATGATTTGGTTACTAGAGCATTCACATCACCTTTTTCTTTCAATGCTTGGTTTAAAGCAGAAGTGCTTATTCTGTTTGGAGAATCCAGTAGTAATGCCTATGTACAGTTGGCTGCATCTATTCACCAGCACTCGGGAATAACAACATTTAAGAATGTTTGGATCTTAATTTCCCATTCAAAACTTACTGTAAAGGAATATCGAGACTTACTGAAAGTAATGAAACCCTTCCATGGAGCTTTGCATTTTAGGGATCACACCAGGGATTTATCAGAATTCAGCCAATTCCTCCTGTCTTTGGACCCTTTGAATCCACAAGGGGACTTCTTTCTCCCACTATGGTGGGAGTCGGTCTTTGAGTGCAAGATCCCAAGATCAAACCAGATCCCTCAAAGGGGGAGACATCCATGTACAGGAAAAGAGAATTTTCAGCAAATACCACCTTTAATTTTTGAAAGAAGCATGACAGGTGAAAGTTACAATATCTACAATGCCATTTATGCGGTGGCACATGCATTACATGCAATGTATGGATTCGGAGTGAGACAAGCCAGGATGAGGCTTGGTAAGAAGATTGTAAATGTTCAATCATGGCAGATAATCTCTGTGACTTCTTATATAGTCCACATATACTTAGACAGGAAGCTCTCCTCACCTATCTTTTGAATTATTGATTAAGCACCTATATGGCATCCTATCACTACATCTCCAAGGGATTAAAACAGCAATTATTTTTTTAAAAAAGATACAAATATAATGTTTTGTTGAAAATGGGTAGAGGAAGAAAAGAGAAATAAATCGAACCAGATGTCCTTAAGATTCATGCAAGAAAGACCTTCCAAAAAGGTCTTCTTCTAAGACATAAAATGGTCTTCAGAGGTTATCAAAGGTCTTCAGATAGACAGTCTGAGTTTCATGGAGAGGCTATTCCAGGCAGGAAGTATCATCCCACAGCAAAATGACAATTCTACAGTGTGTTTCAACAGTCCTAGTGGGTATATTTGCAGAAACATCTCAGTTTTGTTCAGTAGGTAGTTACTTGTAAAAAGACATTCAACTCAATTCATTTCAACCTTGGTTTATGCTTCCATTGGTTTGAATTATGTGTGACCCCACCCTATGTATTTAGTTTGCAATTTCTTGCACTGACATGCTTATTGTATAAAAGCAGCCTCTGTCAACCTGAGCATACACAACAGGACTCTAAAACTCATCTGACTTTTTTCTGTATCAAAGATTAAACAATCTTTACCAGAAACTTCCCAAATGCATTTATTAAATATCTATAGAGTTAGAATTATAATTCCTTATTGGTGAAATGTGATTGGACACAGAAGGAATTTGTCTTGGTGAAAATGCTCTCAGTATACATAAAAGAAAAGATACATTCATCAAAGTTCAGAATCATCAGGTACAATACTTAATGATAGCCATAGGGTACAATCAAATCATACTAGGAAACAGTCAATATAGATCTTAAGGATACAAGCAACAAAGTTATAGTCATACAGTCACAGGTAGGAGGGGATGGGTGATAAGGAGTGATGAGAAAATTAATAGTAATAGTAGTGCAGACTGTGTAAGTAGTTGGACAGTGTTGTGGGAATTATTTGTTTAGCAGAGTGATGGTGTTTGGGAAAAAACTGTTCTTGTGTCTAGCTGTTCTGGTGTGCAGGGCTCTATAGTGTCATTTTGAGAGAAGGAGTTGAAACAGTTTATGTCCAGGATGTGAGGGATCTGTAAATATTTCACAGCCCTCTTTTTAGCTCATGCAGTATACAAGTCCTCAGTGGAAAGCAGGTTGGTAGCAATTGTTTTTTCTGCAGTCCTAACTATGGTCTGAAGTCTGTCCTGTTGGGTTGCAGAACCAAACAAGACAGTTATAGAGCTGGAGATGATAGACTCAATAATTCCTCTGTGGAACTGTATCAGTAGCTCCTTGAGCAGTTTGAGCTTTCTGAGCTGGCGCAGAAAGAACATTCTTTGTTGTGCTTTTTTAATGATGTTTTTGATGTTAGGGGTCAATTGTATTATATCATTATATTATACCATATCAATGCACCTCTAAACAGATTCAGACACACTAATTTAAAACAATAATATGAATTATGTATCAAATATATTGTTGAGAAGCATAGAGAAAGTATATGAAACCAGATGTTCATAAGATTCATAGAGGAAGGAACTATGAAGTTCTGAAAAACCTTCAATGGTTGCCTGGCCATTTCAGAGAAGACATACTGGCCCAGAGCAAGATGACAATTTGGGGGCCTGTATGCAAGATGCGATGCTTCAAAAGTTCATTTTCAGTCCTAGTGGACACCTTTCCCTAAGCATGTAGGCTGAATCCAACCCGTAAAAAGACCTAATTTTAACCTTGGTGTATGTTTCTGTGTCTATGGAGAGTCATCCAGGTCATGGTTGTCACAAAGGTGCTTTTTCAAAAGGCAACTGGACTTTGTTTATTTCTTGAGGAAGACATTTTGCTCCTCATCCAAGAAGCTTCATCAGTTCTAATTAATAATCCTTCCATCCCCTTGCCATCCAGTTAAAACTGATGAAGCTTCTTGAATGAGAAGCAAGACATCTTCCTCAAAGAAAAAACAAAACAAAACAAAGTCCAGTTGCCTTTTGAAAAATCACCCTGGAGATTTAGCATCCTATGTTATCCACCCAATTTTCTAAGTCAACCACTTCGTCAACATTGTCCTAATAGGTTCCTGTCATTGGATATAAATATCAAAGACTCATTTTTGGACCTCTCTGAACACTGAAGGGACAAACCAGGACAGGTTTTAGAGGCCCTGGTTAACACACACACACACACATATGGATCTTTGGTTGTTCGGGTTTTCTCCCGCGTAAGATTCGAAGTATCTAGGCAACGTTTCGATGAAGTCTCATTCATCATCTTCAGGCTTCTGTCTCCGGCTCTGTGCTTCTCAGAGTAATG